TCTTGTCTAAGTGGAAAACCAGTGGTTCTAACTCCCTTCCTTTCCTCCTTCATTACCTTTCACCCACCATGGAAAGACTGTGTAACCAGTTCTTAATTTCTAGTTATTTTCAAAAGTCCTTTACAATGGGCTAAAGCAGTGGTTCTCAAACTTCCTTATGCTGTGACCCTTTAATACAGTTCCTCATGTTGTGGCGACTCTCTCAACCATAAAATTATTTTCATTGTTACTTCATAACTGCAATTTTGTTACTGTTATGAATTGTAATATAAATACCCGTGTCTTCTGATGGTTTTAGGCAACCCCTATGAAAAGGTCATTTGAACCAAGAAGAGGTCATGACCCACAGGTTAAGAAATGCTGATAAACTGTCTCCTTTTAACAGAAGTGGCTCAAACAGTCATTTTTTTGTAGGTTGCTAAGGAAGATAAAAGCTTTAATCAATGTTAATAACTCACATTTTTTAGTGTTTATTTAACTACTAATCCAGAGGACTAGAGATCATAAGCAAAAGGAAAAATCTACACAATACACCAAATTTTATAGACACTTAAATATTTGTCCACAAAAATAAGTTTCACTATTACTGTGAAACGTAGCATAAATGACCCAAGCAGGAATAACTCTAATAAAACTTTTTATTGCTTTGTGACAATGGAAAATTTTACAGTAATGAACTTAGCATCAAGATATATTGTTGTTGGAGGCATTTGGATAAAATCTAATCATTAATTTTAAAATATCCCATTTGGTAAAGATTAGCTGGAAAATCTTGTTTTTAAGCCAGTTTTTCTGTAATTCTTTAATTTATGTAGGTAGGAACAGATCAGTATTTTAAGAGAATCTTATTTTTGTAAACAGAATCAGGCTCATGCGTGTGTGTGTGTGTGTGTGTGTGTGTGTGTGTGTGTGTGTGTGAGTGTGTGTGCGTGTGTTTGCTTGTGTGTTTGTGTGTGTGTGCGTGTTTGTGGGTGTGTTTGTGTGTTTGTGTGTGTGCATTTGTGTGTGTTTGTGTGTGCATTTGTGTGTGTTTGTGTGTGTGTACGTGTTTGTGTGTGTGTTTGTGTGTGCGTTTGTGTGCGTTTGTGTGTGTGTGTGTTTGTGTGTGTTTGTGTGTGTGTGCGTTTGTGTGTGTGTTTGTGTGTGCGTTTGTGTGCGTTTGTGTGTGTTTGTGTGTGTGTGTGTGTGCGTGTGTGTGTGCCTACAGGTTGTTTCCCGAGCCCTCATGTGTGTAAAAACCAATCTTCTCTGACAGCTGGAGGGATCTGTGTTTGGGGTCAGATTTATGTGCTGCTTGTGGCAGTAGCCTGAAGTTTCACTCCAAGGTTGGTTTTTTCCATTGTACCTAAGGTTTATCCTGCACACCTATGGGGATTTTAGGGAGATGAAGACATTTTTCTGATCATCTTTCATGTGTGTCTTCTCAACTGAGTCCATAAGGGCTAAATACTTCAAATTCAGGAATGGGGGGACATATTTATTTTTAGGCTTTTTTGTTTTTGTTTTTCGAGACAGGGTTTCTCTGTGTAGCTTTGCGCCTTTCCTGAATCTCACTTTGTAGACCAGGCTGGCCTCGAACTCACAGAGATCCGTCTGGCTCTGCCTCCCGAGTGCTGGGATTAAAGGCGTGCGCCACCACCGCCCCGCTATTTTTAGGCTTCTTTGTGAGGCTGTTTCATTTCCTAGGAAGTCCACCTGATGTTTCTAGTCTGTTGGACTAGAGGGAAGAAGTGTTTCCTGTTTTCAGTGTCTTTATGACCTGGCACTCAGAGAATTTCTTCGCTAAAAGGGACAAGTTTGGGATAATCAAGTAATGACATAAAGGGAAAAGCATGCAGAAATAGATACTGGAGGGGTGGTAGGAGGAAAGAAAAGAGGCCACAGTAGTAATGCTCTAACTCAATGCTCTGGAAACAAATGAAAATTAATGAATGCTCTGAAAGTAAATAAGAGGACATCCAACAATGTCAGCATAAACCAGTGGTCCTTACCTAAACCAAAGGGAAGAATATCCAAGTCCCAGACGGAACTCACCAACATCTGGCCTGAGAGGGAAGAATGGATGGCTAAGCCTAGAGTACCCAAGCTAAAACCTGGTTCGGTGCTGATCTGTATAATTCCTTCAGTAAAAGTGGATCAAGCTGGGTGGCAGTGTCACACACCTTTAATCCCAGCACTCAGGAAGAAGAGCCAGACAGAGCTCTGTGAGTTTAAGGCCAGCCTGGTCTACATGAGTGAGATCCAAAACTCCAAGACAGGCATCAAAACTACACAGAGAAACCCTGTTTCGTAAAACCAAAAAAAAAAAAAAAAAAAAAAAAAAAAAAAAGAGGGGGAATGAGATCATTTATTCTGAGCCAAATATGACAAACCATAGTATGGAAACATGAATTCAGGTCACTTTGAATAACATGTTCTAACATAGAAATGTCACATGAACATCTGTAATCACGGGACACAAGAATGTTGTACATTAAAGCATTTCTTTCAAAGGTATGGGTAAAAACATCAAACAGCAGAGCTATGGTAAAGTGGAGAAAGCTCCACAATGTTTGAGACATTGTCAGATAGCACTCATATTTTGGTTGTGAGCCTAGCCTTTAACAACTGAGCCGTCTCTCCAGCCCATCTAATAACACTCTGAATTCTGGAGCTGGTGGAAGTCTGTCTGATACATTAACACCTTCCAACGTTTTTACCGAATTGTTGGAAGGATATGAAGGTCAGACAAAGAGGTAGAGCATGAGTAGCTACCAAGGGAACCAAAGAGCACCAGTGATGATGTGGCTCTGAGTCTGTAACATTTCAGGTCTCCATGCTCACGAAGTTCTAGCCAGTCACTGTGATGTCTATCTGACTGCTAACACTAACGGCAAGAATGGAGAACTTCCCTAATAACCCCCAGCTTTGCTACTTTGATCGAAGGATTCTGTATTCACTTGAAAGGTTTTTATTTAATAGGGTCAGGACACATTAAATCAGCAGGGGCATCTCTTGCCAAGAGCACAATCTAGGAGGGTTCTAAACATGAAGATTCTCTTGTCCTTAGAATGTGTTACCCTGAGTGGGTTCATGCAGTAATACATACATACATACATACATACATACATACATATATATGAGTCTTACAGTAACCTGGAAAGCTCACCTGATGTCCTATTCCAGTTTATTAGGGCACTCTTACTTGGAAATTCATGGTTGACCATGCTGTGGTTAGCCTCAATCTCTATATAGCTCCCTCTGTGGTCATCAGACTGACCCCACATACACTGGTGGGTCCAATGGAAACCACATCGTTAGCATAACACACTGTCAGGTGTGATCCAGGAACCTCCTACAATTTACAAAGCAAGCTAAATATTTACTACACCAATGCCAAGTGATTAGCATTTTGTGTCCACCTTCCTACTAGTCTTCAGAAATCTGTGGGGAATAGCAAGTGGCCTGGGAAGACATGCTCATGGGTGCAATAGTGGCATGAATGTTACGGGAATAACCAACTACTGTCCCATTGAATTTAAGGACCATTCCAGAAAATGGAATTTATGCTTGTCATTGTTAATGAGGCTAAGAACCTGGGGCTGCTTATGTTATAGGCCCTAGTGAAGAACCTATTGTTGTTATTTTACTACATGAAATAGAATTAAACTGTCCACTAGGTACTTGTATTTGTACTCATAAATTAGTGTATCTCTCCATCCTCACTAGAGAAGCCCTTTTTCCCTATACCTATACATATGTTGGTGGTACTATGTGGACCCAGTGAGTCTAAAACCCGAACATATGAAATTGGGAATGAACAGTGGTGGGGTGAGAGGGAAAGAATTGGAGGGGAGGAGATGAGGGATGAATTTGATCAAAACACATTATACACATGTATGAAATTCTCAAACAATAATAAATAAAGAAATCTGTGGGTAAACACTACCATTATTCCCTTGTATGTTGAAGGGTTGGAATCATAGTCCCAGAGAGGCATAATTGTAAACCAGTTCAATCTGATCCCAGAGCCCGAGCTTTTAGTTTCTCCAGAGTAAAGTGCCTGATAGTCAGGATTTATGAGATCCTAAAATGAAAAGGACAGGGGCCATGTATCCATCAGGGCACTGGCACAAAACAGAAGACCTATACATATTCGTTAGACTTTGATTTGGAAAATGTAAAACACAGCAAAGAATGGAACAGAAGCCCTCTACTAGATAAGATGGTGTTGTTACCCCTGAGTCCTGAACATTTGGGCATCTGTGAGAAATGGGTCCCAGAGAATTTTGTTTGAATGGGCATGTCCTAGAAATCAGAAATAATATACAAGAATACAGGCCATTCACGGGGCTTGATGTAGTCTGAAAGGGAAAGCAGATGCTGATGAGGCTGGGAAGTAAGACAATCCATGTCAGGATCTCCAAGTATTTAGTAAAGAGTATGTTGGACCTTCTACAACCCTGGGGATATGTTCAATAATAGTATGATATAATTTTAATTTGAGAGCATTCCTTTGAATGGGTAGTTCATGCCCATAATGAGACTGATGCAGGCCACCTAGGTTGTACAGTTCCAGGCTAGCCTGAGCTACAGAGTGAAACACTGGCTCAAAATAAAGACAAAAGTAAATCAGATAAATTTCCTCCTAGTGGTTTGGAAGGTGGCTTAGAAAAGCTATGGTTTGGTGGCAATAGATGAGTTTGGGAACTATTTATAATGTTGTAGGTAAAGACTATGGCAAATTTGCAGGGGGAGTCTGGCAGATCTCTCTGGGTGCAGAGGCAGAACATGTAAAGCATGTAAAAAAAACCCAAGGATGTCTGTACCTCATGGTAGGCTCATGATACAACAAAAAGACATCACTGAAAGCTCATACTCATAAACTGACATTAAACGTTTAGCTAGCAAACACCTGAGGAGCAAGCATTCTTTTATCGTGTTCACACTTAAAGATGCAAGTTTTTCTCCTAAGTGATGCTTCTTTACACACACACACACATACACTGCTCTTTACTTACTTGTCTCCTGGGAAAGAAGCCTGAAGGAGAGTCTTATTAAATGATATTGAATATGATCAGTAGACGTGTAAGTGGCCACAGGTTCACCAAACTGTAAAGCAAATAAAAAAGTGATGGAGAGAGCAATGAACAATTACAGAAGTATAACTCTTCCTTCCATCCTTCAGACTGAACCCCATGTGGTTATGAACATTCAACAAAACACTATCTCAGTGTTGGGGTTCCTGTGGCACTAACCCACCATGGGGGTCACCCATTTGGCAAGCCTCAATCTTGCACTTTTTATGTGCCTGGCTGTATATATTATAATATATAACATATGTGATATATTATAATATATATTACATTATAGTATTACTAGTATATTATAATTGGTTTAAGTTTCCTCTTCTGAGCCTTATGAATATTTTACTACTGTTATTATGATGCCAATAACATGAAAGTACTTTGCTTGCATTTCCTCCCCTTATCGAGGATGCTTTTCTACATACACTGACATAGTAGTTCAAGGTAGGTTTTTGTGGACTGACAATACATGACTGACTGCCTTAGGGAGGGAGTCCAGGGAAAAAGTGCCATTTTCAGTGGGAGTTGACACAGCCTAAGAGCCTATTGTCCTTGAAGAAGGCAAGAGAAAGCCTATCCAGGAAGGCTACCTTTTTCCTAATTCACAGAGACTCCTGAAGTGGTCCAGAGTTATGGAAGTTCACACTGAGACCAGAGCCCTGATTAAGATGCCACGATGTTGACTAGCATCCTCACAACATATCTCTAACTCTCTCCTGCTAGGTGGGACCATCTGACAACTGTCCTAGCATTTCCTTTTTTTCTATTTCTTTTATTAAAAATAGATATTTTGTCACCTGGGTGGTGGTGGCACATGCTTTTAATCCCAGTACTCTTATACTCGTGAAGCAGAAGCAGGCAGATCTCTGAGTTTAAGGCCGGCCTGGTCTACAGAGCGAGTTGCAGAACATCCAGAATTACACAAAGAAAAAAAATTTATATAATATATTCTGATTATGGTTTCACGTTTCCCCTCTCCCAATTCCTCCCTGGTACTCCCTACCTCTCCTGCCAGCTAAATCTACACCCTTTCTTTCTCTCTCATTAGAAAACAAATAGGTACCTACAAAATAATAATAAGACAAAATTAAAGCAGACAAAACAAACAAATTAAAAAACAAAACAAAAACCAAGAAGAAAAAGAGCTAAAGAAAAAGCACAAAAAACACATATAGATGCAGAGGCACACAAATGCACACACAGAAATCACATAAAAACACCAAAATCAGAAGCCAGAACATACACAAAAGACTTGTAAGGTTAGGGAAAAATGCCATTGGGTTCATTTTGTGTTGGTCATTTCCAGCTAGGTATGGGGCCTACCCTTAAGAGTGGTTCATATACTCAGTAAGACAGTTGAAGCAAATAATTTTTTTCCTTTGTGAGTGGTTATCAATTGAAGATAACTTCTGGGTTTGGGATGGGGCCTTGTGTCCACCTCGCCTTTCAGTGCTGGGACCCCATCTGGCGAAGACCCTGCAAGCCCTGCACATGCTGCCACAGTCTCAGTGAGTCCATATGTGCATGAGTCCTGCTGTGTTTAGAAGGCCTTGCTTCCTTTGTGGCCTCTATCTACTCTGGCTGTTATAGTCTTTCTGTCTCCTCTTCTACAGAGTTCCCTGAACTCTAAGGGGACTAGGTTGATGGAGACATCTCACTTACAACTAAGTGTTCCAATGTCTCTCACTTTCTGTACATCATCCCCCTGTGTGTTTCTGTATTTCTTCCCATTTACAGGAAGAAGATTCTTTAATGATGACCGAGCAAGATGCTCATCTATAGGTATAGCAGAATGCTGTTAAGAGTCATTTTACTGTCATGTTCCTTTAGCAGAACAGTAGTATTTGGTTTTACCCTATGTGGTAGTTTGAATAAAAATGGCCCCCATAGGCTCATAGAGAGTGACACATTTAGGAGATGTGGTTTTGTTTGTGTACGTGTGGCTTGTTGAAGAAAGTGTGCCACTGGGAGTGGGCTTTGAGGTTTTGAGTGCTCAAACCAGGCCGAGTCATTCTCTCTTATTTTTGCCTTCTGATCCAGGTATAGAACTCCCAGCTCCCTCTCCAACACTATGTCTGCTCGCATGCCACCATGCTTCCCACCATGATGACAATGGACTAAACCTCTGAACCTGTAAGCAAGCCCCAATTATATGCCTTCCTTTATAAGAGTTGCCATGGTCATGGTGTCTCTTCACAGCAATAGAAACTCTAAGACATCCTAGTTCCATGGTCTGTCTAGTGACAGGTTCTTGGACTTCTGAACAGTTTTAGGGATGGGTTCTAGCTCATGGAGTGCGCTGTAAATCCAAGCAGGTGTGGGTTAGTCACTCCCACAAGCTTTGTGCCACTATTGCCCCAGTGTTTTTTGCAAACAGGTCACTATCATAGATTAGAGGGTTTATAGCTGGGTTGGTTTTAATCTTTCTCCTTTGGTAGTGTGCAGAGTATCTTCCATACCATGAACACTAGTCAATAGGGATGAAGGCACTAGGTAGGCACCAGCTTGACTTCTCCATGTTCAATAAATTTTATAGGTGTTGTCTTCAGCAACAAGGCCTTATCATCAGTTTGTACAGAACAAAAAATAGGTTTGGCAATAGCCCGAGTGGTCTGGAAGTTTTCATGGGACCCCTTTAACCAATAATCAATTAGATGTAACCCATTCTCAGAACTGGAGGTTTCATTTGGTGGCAAGAGATGTTTAACTGGGGCTTGTCTCCCCCATTATTTGGTGATTCTATTGAGATTTTTTTCATATATGTATATATTTTAAGAAGCTTCTAGTATATTAGTTTTTTATATGACCCCACAAATAGCCCTTAGTTTTAGCAGTCTCTCTCTCTATTTCCTCCATGACCCCCTCTTCCCTCTCCATCCCCATTTGATCCTCCAATTCCAGTACTCCCCACCTTCCATCCAGCCACAACTATCTATTCTATTTCCCCTTCATAAGGAGATCCATCCATGCCCCCTAGTCCTTTACCCTATATTTAACCTCTGTGGTTATATGGATTATAGCCTGTTTATTAAAGACGTAACAGCTAACAACCACATATAGCATGTTTATGAAAAACTTACCAGCTGACATCCACATGTAAGCTAATAAATATATTCCATATTTGTCCTTTTGATGACAGTTTTAGTTAGGGTTTCTTTTGCTGTGAAGAGACACCATGACCCTAGCAACTCTTATAAAGGCAAACATTGAATTGAGTGGCTTACAGTTCAGAGGTTCAGTCCATTATCTTCATAGTAGGACATGGAGATGTGCAGGCAGACAGAGTACTAGAGAGATAGCAACAGGAAGTGGTCTCTGTCATTGGGCATGGCTTGAGCATAGATGAGACCTCAAAGCCTGTCTCCACAGTGACATACTTCCTCCAATAAGGTCACACTGACTCCAACAAGGCCACACCTAATATTGCCACTCCCTTTGGGGGCCATTTTCTTTCAAATCACCCCGATGACTCAGCATTTCTAAGATAAGGCTCTAGTGGCTTTGATTGCTAGCTGATCTATTCCAAATGGACTCATCATCTCAACCCATAAAGCTGCCCAGGGCCACATGGTCTCTGCTATTCTTAAAGCATTTATGCTACCTTGAAAACTTCCAACATGCTTCTGTCTAAAAGAGGGGATTAGGATGCTGATGTGAAATCTCATGTAGCCTCACCTTTTGCACCCTTCCCTGTGTTTGGAAACTTAGAGCATGGCCTGTCAAGACTTCTGTTTTGCCAGGCAGTGGTGGCGCACGCCTTTAATCCCAGCACTCAGGAGGCAGAGCCAGGTGGATCTCTGTGAGTTCGTGGCCAGCCTGGGCTACCAAGTGAGTTCCAGGAAAGACACAAAGCTACACAGAGAAACTCTGTCTCGAAAAACCAAAAAAAAAAAAAAAAAAAAAAGACTTCTGTTTTTAGAAGACTGTGACCCAGGTCATGAATGGTCTTCATTAAGCTTCCTCCTTGTCCGCATCCCAAACTGAACTTTTGAAGCCCCATCTAAATGAACTGAACTCTTTATGACAAATCTGAAGTGTCAGGAAATTTGTACGTAACCAGAGACTGACTCTTTGATGAGTTTTGGTCTCTTTTCTTAGGCAAATTGGCAAATCAAGGTTCTCACCCAGTCTCAGAAGAAAAAGTGGGGAGTGAAAACAACCCAAACAGCAAGGGTTAGTTAGAAGGTCAGATAGGATCAAGTCCAGGGCCAGAATAGTTGCTTCCCGGGCCTTCACTCTTGAGTGAGTTCCTAGACATCTCTGCAGCTCAATTTCAAAATATGTACTAATGAGGATGCCTTTAATTCCCCCTAAAAGACATTGCAAAGTGAAATAGAACCCCCTCAAAAGAGTACCTACAAAGTGCTTGATGAGGCCTTATTGTTACTGTTATCGCTGTTCTTCTTCTTCCTCTTCCTCTTCTTTTCTTCTGAAGATAGGGTCTCCCTATGTAGTTTTGGCTAGACTGGGGCTCACTAAGTAGACAAAGCTGACCAGGAATCCATAGAGATCCACCTGCCTCAGCCTCTGAGTGCAGTGTTTAAAAACCTGGGTCACCACACCCAGTACAAGGAATTCTTCATAGAGCACTTGGGAAGAATGGAAGCATATACCCATCTAGTTTATTTCCACCTCTCAATATAATTTCCTCTCAAGTAGCAGAAGATGTGACAACAGGGAGACTTTTCTTAACATTTACTCTAACCTCTCTTATATGGCACCAGGCTATCACAGAGGAATGTGCTATGGGTACCATCTGCTGTTAAAATGAGTGTAATGGGCCTCTTATTCTTCTGCCCAGTGGAGAAAAGACATCTCAGAATTAGATACTTGAGTTCAGCATCTTGGTCTGCTATGTCCAGCCAAGGGACCTTGGTGTGATCCTTCCCTGCATTGAACCTCAATTTTTTCTTGTGTTATTGAACAACTAGAAATCACTGATAAGAGTTACATATAGAAGCTAGGCTGAACACATCAACATTCTCTTCATTCCTTTGAAGGAGGCCACATCAGTCTTGCCACACA